CCAGAAGCCTGGCGGTTCAAGCCCACCAGCCACTCCTCAGAAGGAAGATGGGGCAATCTACTTCCGTAGTGATACTGCCTCGGGAACCCAAGGAGGGGTTGCTATGAGTCGGGTCCGACTCGACGGCACATATCAACAACAACAACGTCATAGCATCATAGCAAAACAGTGTTTATAATCTAGAAACTGTCCAAAATTTAAGCGGCACAGAAATATTTCCAGCTTCTGCTCCCTGTCCCTCAGTGTTCCCTGCTACGCTGATTTACTGCTGTCCTCCAAGGTCCGGCCCCTGTTGCAGTCTCTGGTATTCCCAGTTGTGGTGTGGAACCTTGTGAAAAGATCAGGAGGTCTTTCTCTGGCTGCATGGTGGTTGCTGCCACCCCTAGCTTTATTTAAATGGGGGAAGGACAGCCCAGGAAATCCTTAAATGTGCAGGTCATGAGCACAAGGCTGCGAGACCACAAACATTTTCTTTCCTTTCTATGGGGTGCTGTGTGTATGTGTGTGGGGCGTGGGGAGCTTCTATTTCCAGCTTCTGCTCTGCACTGCACCTAACCCCTACTCATTCTTGATACCACACCCACCCTCAGAGCTGCTACTGTGTTCTTGCTGCCCCATCCTTTGCATGCCCACAGAGCCGTGTCTGGGTTAGGGGGTGCTTCAGTGCTTCATCCCCATGGTTGCCCTGGGGCTGCTGGTATGACACAAGCTATATATTGGGGGTGGGGTGGGGGCTTCAGGCCAAAAGGAGCCTGAGAGCTGGCACTGTCACAAGAGTTCTGGGCTGCAAAGGAGATGGCATACTCTGCTGCCCAGAAGATGATGGAACTTTTTTTTTTTTTTTTCCCCAAATTGTGATTTGGGTGAAAGTTTACAGAGAAAAGTTGTTTTCCATTCAACAGTCCATATGCATTCTGTTTTGTGACATTGGTGGTATAACTTTTTAAGGCCTGGCCACCCTTTGCACAGAGAGGAGGAAGGAAAGATCCAGAATAAACAGTGCATTAGGTAACAGGGATGGGTCCTTTTCAGTGAAACAGTGTGTGCATAGCTTCTCTGACTCTCGGTGTTTCTTTATTCTCTCTCCCCACCTCCCACCCCCACGCTCCACTGGGTGGCTCTATCTTGGGTCGCTCGCCTCTCTCTGGGCCTCTTCCCTTCGGTTCGCCCCACAGCTGGTACGTGACAATGCAGATCTGCGTTGTGAGCTTCCTAAATTGGAAAAACGACTTAGGGCTACGGCTGAGAGAGTTAAGGCCCTGGAGGGTGCACTGAAGGAGGCCAAGGAGGGCGCCATGAAGGACAAGCGCCGGTACCAGCAGGAGGTGGACCGCATTAAGGAGGCTGTTCGGTACAAGAGTTCGGGCAAGCGGGGCCATTCTGCCCAAATTGGTGAGTGGAGGGTGGATGTCAGTAGGCAAGGTGGGATTATCACCTGGAGCAACTTTTCATTTAGTGAATTCCTAAATGCAAGCATTAGATTATTACTTTTTTTTTCATCTAGCCTCAGCCTCACCCTTTCTCAAAAAAATTAAAAGTGGCTTCTTATAAATAACTTAGATGACCTCAGTGAGCAGGAAATCTGCAGGGTAATAAATGGCTTCCTTATAGTCATTTTTCTTTTTTGAACTCAGCCAAACCTGTTCGACCAGGCCACTACCCGGCATCTTCACCCACCAACCCCTACGGCACCCGAAGCCCTGAGTGCATCAGTTACACCAACAGCCTCTTCCAGAATTATCAGAATTTGTACCTGCAGGCTGCACCTAGCTCCACCTCAGATATGTAGTGAGTGATCAGGGCCGGGGGCTGACATGCCAACCCAAGGCTCTCTGGAATAGGGCTGGGTCAGTTACTGGGTGAGATTTAATTATTTTTTTCTAAGTAGCTTCCTTTCTACCCTTTCTCAACTTCATACATGCAGCTTGATTAGCTGGTGGGCAGCTGCCCCCGGCCCTGAGCCATGTTCATGGTCCTCAGTTCTCTGGGAGTGGGGGTAGCTCTGTTCCTGAGGGTGAGTGTGGGAGGGTCTGGCGGTCCTCGGAATAGCAGAGGGTGGGTGCAGAAGCCGCGTCTCTCTCTGCTACCTTTAGCTTTGCAAACTCCTGTGCCAGCAGTGGGGCCACATCTTCTGGCGGCCCCTTGGTTTCCTACCAGAAGGCCAACATGGACAACGGTGAGTGGAAAAGATGGGTACTCCAGCCTTTGGGATCCCCAGGGCAAGTGAAGAGGAATAAGAAAACTAAGCAGCTCTGTAGCTGCAGGTGTGACACTGCCTATCTCTTTAGGGTCTCAGGATCTCTTGTAAGTGGACTCCTCCTGTTACCATGTCTATCCCCACCCTTACCTTCCTATCTACTCCTCCTCTCCGTAAGGAGAGGTCAAGGAGGCTTTTTTCTCAAACCAAACGATGCATCTTGGGGTAGTTGGTGATAGAGCGCAACAGTCCCATATGTAGTTATGCTCCAAAGAATCTTACCTTTTTCTTGAAGGGATTAGGGTGAGAGAGGGTTTGGTTAGACTCTTTCTAATGTCCAGTCTCCTGTTTCCTTCTTCTCATCCTGTGTTTTCAACGATGGATCTCTTCAGGAAATGCCACAGACATCAATGACAATAGGTACACTAGTCTCCATTGCCCTGGGGTTCTCTGGGTGGGGTTAGAAGAAATTATTATATTTCCCTTGTGCCCTCCTTAAAGGTCCCCTTGATCCTTTGGGGGAAGGAGGAGGAAATAAACTGTTTGTCTTGTCCCTCCAAGAGAGCTCGAGCATTCCCCTGCCTTGGTGCAGACCACTGTGCCCTCATCTAGTTCCTCCCGTTAATTCTTCCTGTTCCAGTTTTGAGGTCTGGATGCTATGGACATCTGATGTCCTGTATTTCTTCTATTTTGGGGGAACTTGGTGACCTTGGGCAAGTCAGCTACATCTCTCAGGCCATGATTCTCCCTGTGTTCCTGTCAAACAGAATCATGCCACCCCTTGTTTTTTCACAGGACTGTTTTTAGAACCGAGTGGTCCCGACAGGAATAGAGTCGACGATGCTGTGATCATGGTGCATCTCTTCTTTTCCTGCAGGAGTGACCTGCCCTGTGGCTATGAGGCTGAGGACCAGGCCAAGCTTTTTCCTCTCCATCAAGAGACAGCAGCCAGCTAATCTCCCACACGACTGCTGCATACCTGCACTTTCAGGTAGCTTCAGGCCACTTCCCCTGACCAGCCTCAGATTGCCTCCTTTCTCACCCTTCAGCCTCTTTGGTCCTCCTGCTATTTTTTTTTCTTCCCAACCATCTCAAAACTTTTTGTATCCAGTTACCCCTCAACTCCTGCTCTCCCCTTCTAGGGGCTGCATCTCTACTATGGCTCCCTGTCATTTGGACATTGCCTTCCCCTCCCCTAGGCTTTTGGCTTTTTAGTAACCCACAATACTACTTTTCTGCCACTAGGGGTCACTGCCATATATCAGAAAAAGTGGCCAAGGGCCTTTGTAGATCCGGAGGGGAGAGGTACTTGGATCGCAGAATGTGTAGCTATTAGGAGCCCTTGGGAGAGCCCACCAATCCTCTGTCTACTTCCACCCTAAAATAATGTTGGATGAGTAGGTCTTTTCTGAACTAAGAAATTTGCAGTCAAGGAGGTGTTTGATTTCCTGCTAGACCTGTTTTCCTATCCTACAAATATCTACCCACCAATAAGCTTTAGGAAGGTCCCCATGAAGCTTAACCTTTTGTCCCTCCAGATTCAGTGTCAGCACTGCTCTCCCATCTTGCTCAGTGGAGGTGGGAAACACCTGTCTTCCCACCTCCCAGTCCCTCCTTCTCCACCTTTGCCCCCAGGCTCTCTCTCTAGCAGCATAGGCACCCTCCTAGATCTTCTGTTACCAGGCTTGTCACCAAGGATGCTTTTAGAGCCCAGAGTTGGGCACTGGGATCCTGTTTTACTGCCCACTTTGTATCCTTGGAGAATTAGAAAGAAGTGAACATGGCCAGTCTCTTAGCTGGGCTGCATCTAAGCCGTGTCCTCTCCAGGAGTTCCCCAGGATAGTAGGCCAGATGCCCAGCAGAAGGGAATGAAGAGCAAAGAAGCAAAAACAGGGAAAGGGGTGTTTGGGAAGGTCTGGAACTGGAAGAGCAGGGGCTGGGAATAGGGTATCTGTATGTTGGTGTTAAAGGAACAGGACTGTAAAATAAAGTTTGTATAAATGCCACCCTGTTCCTTTGAGGCCAACAGCTCAGTGGCTGGGCTGAAAGGTGGCTCCTCACACCCTCTTTTTCTTTCTTCCCCAGTTTCTAAGAGGGACTGAGGCCTCTTCTCTCAGCATGCTGCAAACCTGTGGTCTCTGATACTAACTCCCTACCCAACCCTTGTTGTTCAACTGTACTATGTTTGATGTCTTCTCTTACTTACTCTGTATCTCTTTGTACTCTGTATCTATAGATCAAAAGCTGCTGCTATGTCTCTCCTCTCTGTCCTACTCTCTAAGTATCTAATGATGTATTTAGCAATTTCTAAGCATAGTCTACCCTCCTCATTTGGGGTAATAGGGAGGAGGGTGAATGTTTCTTCTTTTTCTCTCATATATTCGTCTCTCACACTGAGTGGTGTTAATCACTGAGTAGAGGTCACAGAGATGATTAAAAGAAAAATGGGAGCTAGAGGGCTATGATCCTTCTCACGCATGTGTGTGCGTGCACACACACATACACACATACACACACATACACACACAAAGCCTTAAACAGAGAATGTCTTAGCATCAGAAGACACAGAAGTAGAATCTTCCTCCCTTCCCTCTCACATAGAGCACAGGGAGGGGTCGGAAGGGCTGCTACATGATATGTATAATTTTCTTTATACACCCGCTCACCCCAACAAGGGATTCCAGGTGTTCATCTCTGGAGTGAGTCGGCCCTTTGCCTCCCTCTTCTGTTCTCCCCTGGACTGAGAACATGGACCCTTCCCTGTTCGTCCAGTCTCCTTTGATATCTTCTACCCCACAGCTCATGACCAGAACCCAGAGCTGATTTAAAATATTTGGAAAAATTGAGGAGGCAGAACCCCTCCAAATAATCTGTCAAGTGGTTGCTCATCTGTCCATAGTAATAATTAATAGGCAAGTGTAGTCGAAACTGTTGATTCCTTGGGTTTAGGAGTAAACAAGGTGGGAAATTCCTAAGCATTTTTCTTTTTGCTACGGGGCTCTCAGGTTGAAGTGATGAGCTGGACTCCTTTCTCTGTCCCATATTGGGCTACATGTCCGTCCCATCTCCATCTCTTGGTCTGGGGGCTTCCAGTTCATTGGCAAAACGTTTATCTCTAGATGCCTTCCTTTCAAGGAGGAGCCTGATTTTTTTTCCCCAATATACATTTTTTATTTTTTCACAGAGAGTTCCTTCTATAATGTTCCCATCTGGTATTAAGTGCACTTTAAAGAAAGGGGCGGGGCAGATTTTCAGAGGTGAAGGAGCTCAAGGGCTTGACCCCTGAGGGCTCTTCCACCACCACCACACTCTCAGCCCACATGGCCCCCCACAGTTGAGAGGACTGTTGTTTTGGTTTCAGATAGTCCTCTCTCTCCTTCCACATGGTGCTCAGGTGGTTTTCCAGGTAAATGCAGGGATGGAGAATGGAAGTCACGGGCCAGCCCAAGTCAAGAAAGAAAGTCCAGTATCCAGATAGCCAGTCCTCACAGAAGACAGGATCCCCCAGCAGCAGATCACCCATCATCTAGATTCTCCTAAGTCAGGAAAGAAAGCTTAGTATGAGTGCCAGCTGGTAAATACAGGCTTTACTGGCATGTGACACCTACAAGGAAAAAGTCCCTGCTTCCTTTACCTGTTGGACCCCTTTAGCAATTGAGAAATACAGGTGTGTGTGTGGGGGGGGGGAGAGGAATAAATTCCAAGGTGGTGATTTGCAAACATTTTTAAAAGCAAATCTTACATAGAACCTAATAGGAAAAATAGCTGAAAGTGGTACAGACCTGGGAAGGTTGCCTCTTCTTTGTTTGGTGGAAAATGCCTCATTACTTGAAGAGCCCTTGAAACAGTCCTAAGAGCCTCTGCAGGTTTTGTAGAACAGTTTGAAAACCATTGCTCTGAGGAAAGAGTTCAGTCTGGCTCCTCTTCACCAAACCTGTAACTCAGAGCAGAGGGGAAGGGAGGGGGGAGGTAAGCCAGGCTGTCTCCAGGCCAATAGGAGAGGAAGATACCCGTGCACCTGTGATCTGGGCATGAAGGGAACCAAGCCACAAAATAATTTGAGTCCTTTGCTTAGAGGAATATCAATAAAGGGACTTAAGCTAATAATTGCCACCAGGATACTTGAAAACCTCAGTGGGTTTTATGCAATTTTGCCACCAAATGATTCTTTTGAAAAACACATAAGGAAATGTGAAGGTGTAGGGCAGATGAGGAGAGAGTGACACGCAGGGGGCAGCCTTCTCTTTAACAAGATGTAAGGGGAATATAATTCACTTACATAAATAAGAAACAACACACACACAGACCCTTCACCAGAAGCTTCATACTGCATCCTCCTCTTCCTTCCCACCCCCACTGCATCCCTTCCAGAGAGCCAGGGTTGCAAGGACACCTGGCCCGCCCACTCACATCTGCCAAAATGTTGCATGCCAGCGTGGAAGACAAACCAAACCGCACAAACCCCAGTGTGTATTTACTTGATGTACATAAATACCTTTAAAATAAAATAAATTCAATGAAGACTCTATAGTGTTGCAAATCTTCTTTATCGCCACCCTCCACCTCCCATCTCATTCCCTTCTTTGTAGGTAATGGCATTTAACAGTACAGTAAGTGTCCTTCCAAATGTTTTCCTATATATTTATACATGGCTTTTTTCTTTTTGACAATATATCTTACAGATCTTTTCATGTCAATAAACATAGATTTACCTCATTTAAAATACATGCTTTTCCATACATTTCTCCTATAATTTAGTCAACCGTTCCTCTATTGGCTGATATCTAGGTTGGTTGTAATTTTTTTTTTTTAGTTTTTATTGTGATTTGGGTGGCTGTTTACAGAACAAATTCATTTTCCATACAGCAGTTCATACATATTGTTTCATGACATTGACACAGTGTAACAGCTCTCTTCCCACTTCCTCCCTGTAGTTACCCCAACCCTGTGTCCTTCCCTCTCATGCACTCCTCCCCCACCCCGAGCTGTCTCTCTGTGCAAACACTGCCCTTCTGTTCTCCCACAACTGATAGCTCCAAGGAGTGTTGTACATGATGTACATACCTGATGTAAATGTTCACCCCATATGCCTGTTTGTTGTTTGGCTGGAAGCCACAGGAGTGAGTTCAGTTCCAGATCTGAAGAGTGACTACAGGCTATAGTTTCAAGGGTCTCACCAGGCTTTATCAGGCCAGAAAACCTGGTCTTTTTTTATGATTGAGTTTTGTTACACATTGTTCTCCCACTCTACCCAGGATCTCCTGCACCAATCCCCCTCCAAGTGGTTGACAGTGGTAGCTGGGCACAATCTAGTTCTTCTGGTCTCATGGTCATATAGGCTGGTGATCACATGGTCCACCAGTCCCTTGGACTAATTGTTTCCATGCATATTTGATTTTCTTCATTCTTCTTTGCCCTGGACAAGAAGAGGCCCACTGTTGCATCTAGATGGCTGCCTGCAAGCTGTTAAGACCCCAGTCACTACTCACCAAAGTAGGATGTAGAACAATGTTTTTGTGTAGTATATTATGCCAATTGAGCTTGGTGTCCCCTGCAACCACGGTCCTGACCCCATAGATTCAACTGCTTGTTCCCTCAGGGTAGCTGGCTGTGGCCAAGAAACCATCACAACCTTGCCCCTTGTCAGCTCTACTATACACCCAGACATTCTTATAACACTTACAAATACACTTGTAGAAACATTGTCTGCCAACCCTATACATGGTCATGGGCACACAAACCCCTGCCTAAACATACCTGATTGGTCAGCATGTCTTCCCATCTATCCACCTATAGATCAATGCTTGCCATCATTGACAATGCAGTACTGTACATGCAGAAGGGTTCATCTTTGCTGTCTGTACCTCGCATGTACCTCTCTGTCTTCCTCTTCCTCAGTGCCACTATGTCGATCACTCACTTTTGGTACATTGCCCTTCCCTTCACCCAAATCAATCCTTGTCTCTACCTATCTAGCAGTGTTCCTCCCCCTCCCCTTCCCTCTCCTCCCTGGTAACCAACAAAAAAAGTTTCCTTCCATGTATAAATCTTTCCTTGACTTTTTATAATAGTGAATAAATACAATATTTGTCCTTCTGTTGATTGACTTATTTCACTCAGCATAATGTCCTCCAAGTTCATTCATGTTGTGTGGTGTTTCTTAGATTCTACATTATTTAGTGTAGCATCGTATTCCATTTTGTGCATGTACCATAGATTGGTTATCCATTCTTCTGTTGATGGGAACTTAGGTTGTTTCCATCTCTTTGGTATTGTAAATAGTGCAGCGATGAACATGGGTGTGCACATATCTGTCGTCCTGGTTCTCACTTTAGGATATATACCTACTAATGGGATTGCTGGAGCAAATGGTATTTCTAATTCCAACTTTTTAAGGCATCCCCATACTATTTTCCACAGTGGTTGTACCATTTTACAGTCTTACCAACAGTGTACGAGAGTCCCAATCTCTCCACATCCTCATCAGCGTTTGTTATTTTCTGTCCTGTTGAACTTTGTAATTAGTGCTGGGGCAAGATGGTATCTCATTGTTGTTTTGATTTGCATCTCTCTAATGGCTAATAATCGTGAGTATTTCTTCATATGTTAGTTGGCTGCCTGAATATTTTCTTTGGTGAAGTGTCTGTTCATGTCTTCTGCCCATTTTTTAATTGGATGGTTGTAATTTTTAATAAAAATGGTATCTTGTTGTGCTCTTCATTTTCCACCCAGACATCACTGCTGTCCCAGCATCAATTCCTGCCCTCTCCAGGGCATCTCACCATCTCTCTCTTGCCAATACCTTAGTTCTCTTGGCCCAAAATAGTCTACAGTCACCCTTCTGCCACTCACTTTAGAGCAGAGGTATCTTCTCTGCTCCTTTCTCATAGATTCTGAGATGAAAGCAGAAAATTGCACAACCGAAGAGGAAAAAAAGGGCAACTAAAAACTAAGAAAGGCACCCTGATGGCACAATGGATAAGTGCTCAGCTGCTAACCACAAGGTTCTAACCCACCAGCAGCTCTGATGAAGAAAAAACTGGCCATGCTGTTCCCATAAGAATTTCAGCCTAGGAAACCTTACAGGAAAGTTCTACTCTGTCTTATAGGGTCACTAGGGCCAGAATCAACTCGATGGCACACAGCAATAAAAACTAAGACCTTACGTACCCACCTGGACCCTCAGTGTTGCTCAGCATTCCTTCCGCATGTCCCTATTTAGTTTCCTCGCTCACTTTCCAGAGCAACTGGTCTCATTCCCCACTCAAGATCCCTTTCCTGCTTCAAAGGGAAAATTAAGGCAGTTGAGCAGGAGAGTCTTCAAACCCTTCCCACCACCTACATACCTGTATTTGCATAAATCTTTTCCTTTTTCCCTTTTGACAAGTGATAAATCTCCCTTCTCTGGCTAAAGTCTAAAGTGAGTCCCTTGTGGATCCTTTGTTCTTGAGATCTTTGCACAGAACCCTGATACATAGAATAACTACAAGTGGTTCCGATTTGAGCAGTCTGCATCTTCTGCAGTGACTTCTTGTTAACATCTATCTATGACTTCTTCCCTTCTCCATGTAAAGGCTCCCTCCCTCTGCCCTGTGTTTCTCTTATAATGTTTCCTTATCTTACTTGTTTTTAACAACCAAGTATCCAGTCCCTACTTCCTCTCATTCATTCCTCAGCTCACCTTGATCTCGCTTTTGTTCCACCAAAACTGCTTTTCCAAAGATCATTAGTTACTATATACAATGGGCACTTCTCTGTCCTTGTCTTACTTCACCTTTCCATGACATCTGACACTGTTTTCCATTCCTTCCTTGTTGAAACTCAACTCCCTTGGCTTCTGTAACCCTGTTCTTCTGTCTTTGCTCTCTGGCCATCCTTTTTCAGTCTTCTCTTCACCATCCCCTGACACGCTGCTCTACCCTTTGGCCTTTCCTTGTGCATTCTCGGAGATGTTATTCATGCCCATGGATTCCACAAGAAACCTTAAATTTGTATTTGCAGCCCAGCCCATTCTGCTGAGCACTAAACCCGTACTATCCAATTGCCCTCCCGTACCTCAAACGTGTTCCAAATGTCACCTTTTCCCCAAAGACTGCTTTTCATGACACCGCCATCATGTCTTCACCTTACCAGAAACCTAGGACTCCTGCTCAGTGTCTCCCATTCCCTTGAACCCCACACCAATGAAGAACTCTGCAAATCAACGTTATATCTTTCAATGCCATCTCCTTCTTTCCATCCCAACAGTCACTGCTCTACTTAATCACCTTGTACCTGGACTTTTACATACTCCAGTCACCCTCCAGAATGATACCTGAATGGTCCTTCTAAAAGCATATTTAATATGTTAAAAACACTTAAGGCATCTCCTATCTTAAGTCTTGCTTCTTTCCACTCGTTCAGGTCCAGCTCTACCTTGCTGCTAGAGACAGACTCGTTTATTTATTACCTTGGAACACTGTTCTACCTGAAAAAACTTTAAACCCATAGTCCTGAATTCCACCCAGCATTTGATAACCAGCTCAGAGTCTCCATTCTTTTTGAAGCCTTCCCTGACCAACCACATTTCCTTTCTTTGTGTCATTAACATTGCCTAATACACAGCTTGAGTACAACACTTAGTTCTCATTGCAACTTTCTCATTTCGTTGGCCAATGCCATTACACTCCGGATCTCCTTGAAGGCAGGAACTGTCTTACCCTACTTCAGTCAAATGAGAATCAACACCTAGAACAGTATATGGCACAAGCAGGTGCTCTATAAATACTTGGATAGATTACAAAAGAGGTGCAGAAGGGCCACGGGTAAGAATTTTGGGTTTCCAAGGCCCGCGCCTCCCCAGCCCTGGCTTCATAAAGAAATAACTTTCCAGCTAGGTTCAGGCTCGAGGTTATTCGTCAAAAATTGAGCAAAACCAGACAGCGGTGATTTTGCAACAAAGAATCCCCCAACCTGGGGTTGAGTGAGACCAGCCCTGGCCGCATTCGCTAGCCTCGAGGACCGGCCAGGTCCTCCTGGGCTTCCCGGCGCTCTCGACACACAGGCTACAGCGTACTAGTCGCTCCACCAGGAGAGAACAACCACCTCTCTCGCGTCCAGGCTGCAGACGGCAAAGCGGGGCGGAGTCAGCCTCGCTTCGCCCCGCCCGCGCGTCCGCGGGCCAGCCTCCGGTCACGTGACGGCTGCGCAGGTGAGCACCGCTTCCGGGGTCGGGCGCCCGGATCGTGGCCGGCTGGGTTTTATTCTCGGTCGAGTGCGCGGGAGACTATGGCGTCCTCTTCGGCACCCCCTGCCACCGTACCGGCAGGGACAGCGGGCCCCGGCCCGGGTTTCGGCTTCGCCTCCAAAACCAAGAAGAAGCATTTCGTGCAGCAGAAGGTGAAGGTGTTCCGGGCCGCCGACCCGCTGGTGGGCGTGTTCCTGTGGGGCGTAGCCCACTCGGTGAGACCCAGCCTCAGACCCCCGCAGCCCTACCGGAGCCCCTCAGCTCCTGCCAGTTCCAGGACCCTGCTTCGGCATCTTTCAGGCTATCACTTTTCCCCCGGGGCTGACTTGTCCCTGCCCACCAATCCCAAGGTGTTGCTATAGACTTTTTTTTTCTTGTAGTCTTTTATTGTTTTTCCTTTCGCCTTTTCCTCTTTCACTCTAGTTTTGTCTTCCCCACCTTAAATCCAGCTACATTTCCAGTCTGCGGAGACTGGCCTGGTCCGAGCTTCAACGGGAAAGACACTGAGGGAAATGGCTCGTCAGGGTTGGTAGTGGTGAGATCTGTGGTGAGAGAGTGTGTGTTTGTAAGGGGGATCGTTCACTGCCCTTTCTGCCTTGCTTTCCAGCACCGGTCCTTGACTTTGGAATCTTGGCTTTGTCTAGGGGAAGCTCCAGACTTCCTGGATCTTCTAATCCTGTTTGTCCCTTCCTTTCCCTTCCAGAGGTACAGCATTTCAGAGAGGCTACTCCACCCCTGCCTTGAGCCTAGTCGGTGCACTCTTTCAGGGCTTCTCTGTATGTGCCTTTAGACTTAACTGCATCCCAGTTGCTGGCTGGAGGGATGGTGTTTGATGGAAGTAGGTGTCATCTTTGACTAGAGAAAAGGCTGAGGAGCTCTGCTCCTGGAAACACTATTATGGTGAACTTTAGAAACAGGGAACTTGCTATAGAAGGTATGGTCTGGGAGTCAGGAGAAGCCAAGGAGGCCAGGATATCTCCTTTCCTGAGGATAGCTCAAGTGATGGGAGCACATCCATTCCCCTCTTCCCTCAGATCTGGAGTTTAAGGAATGCAGTGACCTTGAATGGACAGGGCATGTTTTAGAAATCAACTTCCTTGAATTGTTATAGTCATGGCAGGGTTGTGTAGGTAGAAGGGAGTGAGGAGGAATACAATTTCTGTCACATTCTTTATTTGTGGTTTAGAATGTTGTTTGGGGTCAGTCAGCTCCCTCTTGTGTTTGTAGCTCTGCGGCCTGTTCCCAGTGACCTGGGAATAATGTCTTAGTAGCTCAGTATCCAATGTGAGGTACTTAATATGAGCAGGACTGATAGAGGTAAGGCTGCCTCTTGTGTGTCCCTTCCAGGTGACTCATCTGTGTCTGTAAGAAGCTTAACAGGGAGGATTTTCCTTTGGTAGGGATTGGGGGAATTACACTGAAGACCTGCCTCAGGTTCCCCAGATATATATATATATATATATATATATATATATATATACACACACACTTTAGTCCCAACATACCACTCTTCAGCCAACACACATTTACTTCAAGTGTCTGGAATGGAGAAATTCCTTGAACATATGTCTTAATGATGATTCAGCCTGCTTAACAGCAGGTGGGGAGGAGGGGGCAGGAAGAGCTATAGCTGAATTTTAGGCTGGGAATCTCAAGTGGCTTTTTTTTTTTTTTCCCCTGGAATAATATGTTCTGTCCTCCTTTTCTAGTGAGAATGGGAGGAGTTGGGTTGCACTGCAGTATATGGGATTCAGGTCAGAATGCACCTGATAACCTCTATCAAATGATAAAGAAGGATAGGCCAGGCATTTGTTTATTCAGTTAATGAACACTTAAAAGACCACTGTGTGCCGAATATTGTGCTAGCTAGGTCCCTGAGAGATGCAGAGACTACAGTGGGCACTTGCCCTTGAAGTGCTCACAGTCTAGGCGGGGGAACTTATGTATATAACTAGTGATTAAAGTCATGTGATAAATGCACTATTTAAAGGTGAGTGAAAGGTACTGTAGCAATACCATGGAGAAGGCACATCTCCTTGGGTTTTTCAGTACAAGAGCTCCCTTTTCACCCTGAATTAGCAGACTGCAGCCTAGGGGCTGAGGACAGCATGTGATGCCCGTGTCCTTTGGGCTGTGGTACAGCTTGACTTTAGTGAACGGGCACCTAATGAGCTCATATCCTCCGCCCGGCTGCATTCCCTCTGAAATCAGCTGCTCTTCCTTTACCTTACACATAGGCAGGTGGGAACCTGCTGCAGAGAACTGGGGGAGAGTGGTCTGGATAGACTGGTCCTGTCTGTAAGGAGATGCCGCACACATATCATCCTTCTTGCTATTAACCCCTCAGAGTCCCATTAACTCTATGGTGTACTTTGTAAATGTCTTTTTTTTTTTTTTTTCTAAGGGAATAGAGAACTGTTTGTCTTGAGTGTCTTGAGAATTCTGAGGGTATTCCTGCCCTCCCCCTGAATTTCTCACAGCTTTAAAAATAGACCTGAGTTGCTTACAGGGTTTGCCTGATATAAAATGACTGTTGTGAGTGTGAAGTTCCGTGGGGGTAGGGATGTGAGGGCTGTGAGGGATGCTTGCTTACTGCATTCCTGCTTGGGCAGCAGGAGGGGGTGAGACCCATTCTGTCACTTCTGTCAAGCATATGCATAGCCGGGTGTTTTTAAAGGAATGAGGCTTGAGTTGCCCTTTCCTGACTCCTGCCCAGACACAGTATATGAGTGGCTCTCTGCATGCCTGCCCACTGCCTCCCTCTTCACATTTTGCCTTATCAGATCAATGAGCTCAGCCAGGTGCCTCCCCCAGTGATGCTGCTTCCAGATGACTTTAAGGCCAGCTCCAAGATCAAGGTCAACAATCACCTTTTCCACAGGTCAGTTTGGGACCCCTGCCCTTCTTTCCTATGTCAGCCTTTTGAGAAAAGGACAATAAATAATTTTAAAAGTTGAGATTCAATGAATTTGAAGGTTTTAGATTTAAAAGGCAACTTACAAGTTGTATATGTAGTCTAATCTTTTTCCCAATGCAGAAATTCAGTTTTGTGCAAAGAAACCATTCAAATAATTTCCAGTGTTCTAGATGCTTTTATTTACCAGTGCTGCCTCCTCTCTAGCCCAGCAACTTCACAGATATGCTCAGATGCCATTACCATTATCTTCTGGTAGGGAGTCCTTGCAAGAAATACCTGAGTCCTCTGAACCCTCCTAGTCTCATTAGAAGATGCCATTCAAAAGAGGGGCACCTATTGCCAACTTTGGGATGTCTCTAACTTATTGAGATTTGAGAAGTGTAGTTGTTTGGATGGGCGGTAGATCTTGGCTCTACTTAGCCTCTCCTTACCATTAGGCAGGCCTCTCAACCACCCTGAGCCACAGTCTCTTCTATAAAATGGGCATTATATGCCTTTAAAGTACCTCACAGGATTTTATGAGAGTCAAATGTGTTAAGATGTGTGAAGGTGCTTTATAAACTGTCAAGTCCTATATAAATATAATACTGCCACTTTGATTCTTTTCTTATCTTGAAAACTCTTATTCCAGGGAAAATCTGCCCAGTCACTTCAAGTTTAAGGAGTATTGTCCCCAGGTCTTCAGGAACCTCCGTGATCGATTTGGCATTGATGACCAGGATTATTTGGTGAGAGTTCATTATGGGGTGAGGATAGTTCTTTCTACCTAGCAATTGTAGATATCCTTGTGATAGTCATGCTTGGAGAAATGAGAGGCTTGGCTGTCATAGTCATCATTAAAACTCTGAGGAAAGCTATAAATCCTGTCCTTGGGAAAAAATGTAGGTACACTCAGATTTTGCATTCAGTTTCATTCAGTCCATATATGGGCACCAGGTTAAGAACCCCTGCTCAACCTCTTATTCCAGCCTTTCATCCATTCTGAGATGTATTCAGTTGACAATTATCCTATGATTTGCATCTTTACATAAAGGGGGAGGAGGAAATCATCTGGCCTGTTTTGTGTTTCCAGGTATCCCTTACCCGAAGCCCTCCAAGTGAAAGTGAAGGCAGTGATGGTCGCTTCCTTATCTCTTATGATCGGACTCTCGTCATCAAAGAAGTATCCAGTGAGGACATTGCTGACATGCATAGCAACCTCTCCAACTACCACCAGGTCAGGCCTTTCTCCATCCCTGTCCTTTCCCTCACTTTCTTACTCATAGCTGAGCTGCCAGAGCACATAGGGAGACTTGCTATCTGTTTTCCTCCTTGCAGCCCATTTTGCTTCCCAAGAAGCACTTGACATCGTGTTTTTAAAAACTAGGGATTGTCCCCAAAAAGGCGCGTATGTACCTAGTTTTCCTTGACTAAATAGAATAAATTAGACATATTCCTTCTTATGTGGTTCTTATGCTCTAAAACCAGTGCTGTGGATTTATATATAAGGGGGATATGCATAGCAAAGTATAAGCTATAGGCTCAGTCAGAATCAGGTGAAGTGTTAACACCAAATGTAGTCTCAGGAATAAATGCATCTTGGAGAAAAAAAAACAAGATAAATGCACAATTGGGATAAATCAGAAGTGAGAAGCCAAAATCATATCTAGCCCCACATGGGCTTGGGGAGCCATTCAGTCTGATCACATTAACTTGGAACACAGAGTTTATGGAATTCTTTGGTGATAAAAATACTCTGCCTGAATGTTTCTACTGATAAAAAAATCTCACTAAAATCAGTGACCAAGAAACATGGGGAATAAATGAAAGACTCTAAAAGGAGTCTTGTTTATCCAACAAATATCAGATGTCTGCTATTACTAGATCCTGTGTTAGTAGAAAAAGAAGTGAATGAAACAGTTGTGGCTCTCAAAAATCTCCTAGTGTAGTGGCAAAGACCAGAGACTCAACCTTAGCACACAGTGTGATGTGTGAAGTAATGGAAGTATGTGCAGAATGCTCGGGGGTTGCAAAGGAGTGTCCCAACTCATCTCAGGCAAGAGGCACAGTTGTGAGGCTCAATGAGTTTTTTAGAGGCACTATCATAGGATCTAGGAGCTCTGGTGGCGTAGTGCCTAGGGCATTTGACTGCTAACCAGAAGGCTGGTGGTTCAAACCCACCAGCCACTCCTCGGAAGGAAGGTTGGGCAATCTACTTCCGTAGCAATACTTCTTCAGAAACCCAAGCATGGGTCGCTATGAGTCAGATCTGACTCATTGGCAGGGAGTTTTGTTTGGTTTTTATCATAGGATCTGATTCTTGAAGGACTAGTAGTAGGGTTAACCATTGGACAAAATGGAAAAGAGCATTCTAGGCAGAGAGTAGTACTTGTAAAGGCACAGTGCCATGTGGGAGCATGGTGTTAGAAAACCACAAGAAATTCATTGTGGCTGGGATGTGGTATTGGGGAAAAATAGTTAGGCAGAAGTCAGATCATGAAGGAGCCACACAAAGTTTGGGCTTAATCTTGAAGGCGATTTGCAAGGGAGTGATGTGTGTTTCAGAAATGTCTTTGTGACAGTGTTTTAGGGAATGGATTGGGGTGGGGGAATACTAGGAGTGGAGTTACCATTTAGGAGCTAATTATAATAGTGCAGGTGAGAAATGATGAGAGCCTGGAGAAGCCAGGGCAGTAGAGATAGAAAAGATGAGAGAAATGTGGGAGTTAAGGCAAAGGGAAGAGGGAAAGGAGCCTCCAGTTGCCTGGTTAGGCATAACAGAGTACTCTTCAACAGGTGGAGAACATAAAGAAGAACAGGTTTCGGGCGGAAGACATTTCTGATTTAGACATGTTGGGTTTGAGGTTTCTGCAGTTCATCCAGATAGATGCCCAGTAAGTGGAAGGGGAATGTGCAGAGTGAGATGAAAAGAAGGTTGAGGACAGAACCGTCAGGATCAAGGGGAGAAAATTGCTCTTAAAGGAGACTAAGAGTAGGCCCATGTTTTTTAATTATTTATGTCCATAAAAGGAGCTCTGGTGGTGTAGTGGATAAGGCACTTGGCTGCTAACCGAAAGGTCAATGGCTCAAACCCACCAGCTGCTCCACAGAAGGAAGATGGGGAGATCTACTTCCGTAAAGATTTACCGCCTTGGAAACCCAGTGGGGATTGCTATGAGTCAGAATCAATTAGATGACAGTGAGTTTGGTTTTTTTCATGTTTTGGTTTTTTTAGTCCATAGAGGATTTGAGGACACAGTGGTAGAGAATCAGAAGAGTGATATAATGGGAGCTGAGGGTGAAGTGAGTTTTAGGGAAGGGGGGTCAACAGAATCGTGGCACTTGAAATAGGTGCAATGACTAAAAAGTACTCATTGGATTTGGCAATTGAAGGATGGAGGGGGCAGTAGATTGATTTCAGTGGAAAACTGAGGGTACAAATCTCATCAGTGGTTTGAGTTGTGAATGATAGGTAGGAAATAGAGACATTGGTGCTGACTACGTTTCTAAGAAGGCTGACCATGATGAGAAGGAGGCAGCAATACTTAGATATGGTAGCACTGAGAGAGGAATTTTTTTTAAGAATCCAAATTATATGCCATTATGCAGACATTTTTATGATAGGAATCTAGCCCGCCAAGAAACACTAGTGCAGATAAAATCTTTTACTTGATAAGCAGATACAAGTTCTAATCCTACATCTGTAACTTTTAGCAAATCACTTGTATATAGAGAGTCGAAGATAAAGATAATACTAGTTACCTTTCCATCTCAATGATAAAGATGAAATGAGAGAAGGCACTTTAAAATTGAGACATTATGAAATTGGGATAAATCAGAGGAGATGGGAACAGCATGGATAATGATGGCATCTTCAGGAAGCCCCTACCACTTTTCACCCTCTTGTAACCTCTCTGCTTGAGTTTTCTGACCCACTCAGGAATGGTAGTGTTTGAATTCCCATCCCTGGGCTGTTTGTTATCTGCTACTCACACTCTACCCATTCCTTCCTCTCCTTCTACCCCAGTACATTGTGAAGTGCCACGGCAACACATTGCTGCCCCAGTTCCTGGGGATGTACCGAGTCAGCGTGGACAATGAAGACTGCTACATGCTTGTGATGCGCAATATGTTTAGCCACCGTCTTCCTGTGCACAGGAAGTATGACCTCAAGGTAAGGATTGGATAACTAGGGCTTAAGGGGAGGCTCCTGATGACCTGAGAATGGGGAAGGCCCTTGGAGCACATTGAAAGATTCCCTTTAAAGGAAAGAAGGCGGTGGATTTGAGTACTTGTCTTAGGAGCTGGGTCTTGGTCTTTTAGCCATTTCTGCTGACTTGGTCTTTGGGTCTCTCCACAGGGTTCCCTAATATCCCGGGAAGCCAGCGATAAGGAAAAGGTGATACTGATTTTAGGCAATAGGGTGAGGGATGATGGGGATGGCACACGAAAAAGATTTCCTTAAGATGAAGACACCATTCTCCGTAAAGGGGTAGAAACACCAGCAATTGATTTTTATCTTAAGCCACTGAGAAAAGAGAGATGTAAGCTTCTGTTGAGGTAGGGACTGTTTGGGAGGGTCAAAGGGAACAGCTGCTTTGTCACAGGCATAGGGCGTTCCACATGGGGGTTTGGGGATGGGTGAGGCTGCCAGGCTTTAAGAGCAAAGTGCTTAACCTCCCACATTCTGGACTGTATATTTTGAGCAGCTGTTTTTCCTTAAGAAGAAGAAAGTAAGTATGGAAGATCTTGACTGAAAAATTTAAGCAGAGAGTAGTAAGTTGGGATTCAGGTTACAGTTGCAGTGACTGATGGGTCTGGGGAAGCCATTAGAGGTAAGAACAGACTCTAGGGCAGTATCACAGATATAGAGTCAAATGTGAGATGAGCTGTAAGGTCTCTCTCCTCTAGAGTCCACTAGGTTGGAGTATAGAGTCCTACATGAAAGGCAGGGTTTTTGGAGACCTTGGAAAAGGGATATATTCCAAGACATCCCTTTACCTATTTTCAGGTTAAAGAACTACCCACCCTTAAGGATATGGACTTTCTCAACAAGAACCAGAAAGTTTATATCGGTGAAGAAGAGAAGAAAGTATTTTTAGAGAAGCTAAAGAGAGATGTGGAGGTGATGACTGGGGTGCTCCAGGAAATGGATTTGTTGCCTTTCTTTTTTGTTCTCCACAGGGCATATGTCTTTCCCATTCACAGTATGAGGGAGTTCCTCCCTTTCTCTTTAATGCTCAAGTTCTCTGAGTTGGGTGTGAGACATGAAAAATCCTCAAAGACGACCCACAGAAGAGGTGGTTGGAATGAGCTAAAAGGATGATCTTAGCTACTAGGACATTTAGGCACTAAAGGGTGGTGGTATCTCACTTGTACATTTCTGTTCCCTAGGAAGGCCACAGAAATTCAGGGGTGGAGGTGTAAGGGTGGTACCTGGAAGTAGGGAGGGAGATCTGAGGTGTCTAATTGGTTAATGGGGTTTCAGTTCCTAGTACAGCTGAAGATCATGGACTACAGCCTTCTGCTGGGCATCCACGACATCATCCGGGGCTCTGAGCCAGAGGAGGAGGGGCTAACCCGGGAGGAAGAGACAGAGGGGGAGGGAGACTGTGGCCTGACTGGACCTCCTGCTCTGGTGGGCTCCTACGGCACCTCCCCTGAGGGCATTGGCAGCTACATCCATTCCCATCGGCCTTTGGGCCCTGGAGAATTTGAATCCTTCATTGATGTCTATGCCATCCGGAGTGCTGAGGGTGAGAGATCTTAGAAATTTTAAGGGTGGGGAGGGTTGTAAGAAAAAGGGTGGTGGTTAACTTTTCAAAAAATATCTATCTGGTTGCTGAGACAAAGGATTGGAATAATACCTGTTCTTCACTGTTGGTCTTCCTTGCCAGGGGCCCCTCAGAAGGAGGTGTATTTCATGGGTCTCATTGACATCCTGACACAGTATGATGCCAAGAAGAAAGCAGCTCACGCAGCCAAAACTGTCAAGCATGGGGTGAGGGTTTCCCCAAAGCCTAACCTTTGCTGCTCCATCCTCCTCTGTCAGGAACCATTGACTTGACTCTTCTTGGGGAAGAGACAGCAATGGGGTGGTAGCAGAATGAAAAGGTGCGGAATAGGGAAGGGTGGTGAGGTGGCCTGACACATTGTTCCATACCTCCTCTTACAGGCTGGGGCAGAGATCTCTACTGTCCATCCTGAGCAGTATGCTAAACGATTCCTGGATTTTATTACCAACATCTTTGCCTAAGAGACTGTCTGGCTTCATGGTGACTGCTGTTTTATGTTCAAGCTGGTGGAGTCCTGAGCTTGGAGGAACTGGGGATATTCTGCCAATATTTCTTCTCTTCCTCCTTTGCTAAATTCAGGCTACAGGCTCCTCCCATTCAAGTAACTCTATTTGCTTACATGACTCTTCCTGGCCCTCAGAAATACATTATCCTTTCTTCCTTCTTTTCCCCCAACAAGTCTGTTTGCTTCATTAGAACATTATTGTTGACTCTCCCAAGTGCCTTGATCTTTGTGAAATGTCCTGTTGTTTCTACAAAAGCGAAGGAGCTGGGGGAGGGGGCTGTTTGCCATCTTCGGAACCTGACTGGACAGATGAACCTGGTTCAAGCAGTTCCTCTGGATGCACTTTGCTGTGTGGGATGAACTAAGAGTGTCTGAATTTTGCTGATAACTTTATAGAACTCACTGTGGCATGCTTCCATCTCAGTAGGCCCTGGGATGGAGAACTTTCAAGACACAGATGGGGGTGCAGCATGTGCACATATGGTAAAATATGGCCAATCTTGTACACAGAGGTGGCATGGAGTGTGGTCAGCAGGCTGGCTTCTCATGGAGGTGGGACTAAGGATTCTTGTGATTATGCAGGAAATTGGAGAGGATCTCTACCAAGGACCAACTGTTCTCTAATCTCTTCCATCAGCCCACTTCCACCCCCAACCACCTGTACAACTGGGTGCAGGAGCCCAGAGATAGCCAAAGTGTTGAAGCCTCGGTGAAGGTGTTTTGACTATTGCTGCTCTTCACCAAAGCCTCACACGCCTTCTGGGGCTGGAACCCTTCATGTTAAGTTTTTTTCTTTCCTTTTTAGCTATCCTTGTGGTTTATTCCCAGCAGAGGGGAATTTCCCTACCTGGATCATTCCTGGTCATTTCAAGAGGATGGAGGTCTCAAGTGTAGGAACCTCCCCTACTCCTTGGAGGTGTATGTGCCTTCCTCATCCCTCTCAAACCCCTTTCCCAGTTGAATTTGACATCACTGAATTGACGGGACAGATGGCCGCCTTTGTCATCTTCACTCTCCACCCTCAGAAAGGAGTCAGAGCCATAACTCAGTCACCCTCCCCGCAAAGAGTTTGAGTTGATGTGTGACATTCCCAGAATATAGAGGACCCTGATGAGATGAGATAGGTGTCCTCACTCCTACAATGCTTTGAGGCTAGGGCAACTATTCTTGCTATCCTCCATACCCCTTGAGGCTTCTATATTTTTCTAATATAAAAATGGGCACCAGGCAGCTGGCCTGCAGAGATGCAAAGCTGCTTTGCCCAGTATTTGGCTGGACTGAGCTGTCTCACGAGAAGTCATAAGGGAGCATCCTTCTCTCACTTTCTGCTCCAAAGGAGGAAACGAAGAATCCTCAGTTAGGGGTGGGAGCCCCTATAATATCTTCCCATCAAGGGTCTGATGGATCTTTTCCCTTCCTGTTGTCTACCTTTCCTCTGTTGAATGCAATAAAACTCCATGACACCAGCAACTGTTGTTCTTTAGCAATGGGTTTTCTGACCATGTGGCTGATGTATCATGGGCAGTATGGTCTTCAGTTGTCACTTCTGTTTTTCATCTTTTTTGTTTTATTAATAAGATCTTATGTATTTACTTCTGTTGCTGTCACAATATAGAAAATAAATTATTGAATCCAAATCCATCACAGAAATGCTTTTTCTTTCTTTTCTGAGAAAGTATGTTTTTAGGGGTACAAAGACCAGATGAAGAATTCTGGTCTTCAAGTTGTGGGCCCCTCACTAAGAGTGTGAGTTTCTAGACAGATGGCTGGGAACTTGAAAGGTTGAAGGGGAGGCATTGGTAGCATAGATGTGGAAAAGGATTTCTTCTCCAGCTTCATTGCCTGGAGTTCAGCTGTTGTGGGGGCCAGAGAGAATCTATAATGCAGACCCCTAGGGTTCCAGGCTTGTTCACACTCACAGCTCTGTCAAGGTGAGTGGGCCTTAAAAAGATAAGCCGAATTCCGTTTTCCTCCAGGCTCCGTGGGAAGGATGATGTCTGCCTGGAAGGGCAGAAGGGTCCTGGGAAAGTGAAGGAGAAAGTGACCAGCCCTCTGGTCTAGAGGGGGAGGGGAGAAAGGGGGTGGATGAACAGAGGTTGTTGCCAGTCTGGGAGATCCAGTACTTGTTGGCTGAGGAGGTCTTTTGGCTGGTGGGGAAACCTGGCTTGATGTGGCCCCAGGGAAGTGAGTTGGACTGGGGGCGGAGACTGCTCTGATGTGGGAAGCAGAGCAAAGCTTTTTTTTTTCTTCAGAGAGTTTTTAACTCTCTTTAAACCATAGACTTGAGGCCACCACAACCCCAAGCCATTTTTAAAAAAAATCATTAACTTCCCATTCTGTACCGGCCTCAGTATTCCTACTTGTGGAAAGAGAAATATCACAGGCACTTAACAAAACCCAGCTGGGAGCAGGTTGTTGAGGAGCTAGAAGGGGCTGGGGGGCGGCGGTTCACAGAAGGTAATAATCTAGGAAGAAGCAAGAGATGAGGGGAGGGGATTGAAATAGTTTAGAACCGGGTTTGTTTGTTTTTTGGAACTTATGCTTTTCTTCTTACTATGATGCTGCTTCTCATCCCACATGGTTCCTCAAAGGCCCTTCTCAGAAAGATTTCAGAACGCCCCCCATCGCTGTATACCTAAACCTACTCTCCCCACCCACCCATCCACCACCAGCTCTATGAAGCTGCCTTGCAGCTGGTTGAGAAAGAAAAGGGAGAGGGCTCCCTTGGTGGAGGGGGAAGTGGGCAAGGTGGCGGCGGTATCTCTAAGGGATTTAAAGCCCGACTCTCAATTACACGACGCCACCCCCGCCCTCCAAAGTCTGGACGGTGCCTCCATTTTTGTTTTGGGGTGGAGGGACGGGCTCATGGATCCAAAGGGTCAAAGGAAACGGTGATTTTCACCTGTGAGGGGGATGGGGGTGCAGTCCTCCCTCCCTCCCTTCCTCTCAGTCTCACCCCCTGCAACCCTCCCTACCTTTTCGGGGTCTCCCCCCCCTTGTTGCTAAGGCCCGGACCGTCATCCCAGCAACAGCCTCAGTCATGTGACCGGCAATGGCGGCGCTGACGAGAGGTAGGTGAGCCCGGCGTCCCTCACGCCCACCGCGCGCCCCCCGGACCCCGCTCGCGCTCCCGCGCGCCCCCGGACCCCCCTGCGCCCCCTTCTTCGCCCCTTCCCCCACTCGCGGCTCCGAGACGCCCCTCCGTGCCCCGCCGACTCTCTTTCCACCATCCTCCAACCTTGGCCTCCATTTGGGGGTTCTTGGGGCTGCGATCGGGCCGACGTGCACACCTACTCCGCGGTGGGTCTCCCGGGCCTCGGGCGAGAGGGGGATGTGAGGTTTGGTTCACGGTCGGGTCTTGGAGGAGGCCGTGGGGGGAGGGGTGGAACTGCCTCAGTGGATGCCCCCAGGGACCCTTGCCCATTCTGGCTGCCCCTGCCATAGCATCTGTCTGGAGGGAGGGACTGGCCCTGTGTCCCGCCTGGGTTGCCCCAGAGGAATCGCAAATCCAGCATAAACTGTGGCCCCGCCTCCCTTTTCTGTGCCAGCGGGACTTGGAGCTAGGACATCTAGGTCTTGGGTCCTTTCTGAGGGAGGGGGTGGGTTTCCACTCTAGATAGACAGCAGGGGTTGAGGTCCCAGGGTTCCAACTTTCTGAGTCTCTAGGTGACTCTGGCCTTGAGGGGACTGTGATGGAGGCACAAAGGGACAGCCGCTCCCCTTTCCTTCAATCAAGAAATTGAGGTCACGTTAATGGTCCGGTTTTTCATTGGAGGTGTGGGGGCAGCCCTGTGGCTGAATATGACAAGACTTAGCGGGAACATCAGGCCCCTCCAGTGGAGCCCCGTGTGAGCCCCACCCTTCTGAAATGCAGACTAGGGAGCTAACAGCCTGTGCTGCGTGTGCTGGGTTTAAAAGGTGACAGTGAGAACTTTGTTATTGCAGGGGCTGTGGCCACTTTCTTCTCATTCCTAGCAGACTTCAACAGAAGGGACTCAGATTAGGGCTCAAGAAAGGCTCTCTGACATTGTGGCTGGATGATTTGGGAATGTGGAGCAGGGTGAGGAGTTGGGAAACAGAGGAACTATTCCTGTCCATGTGGTCTGAGGCAGGTGGCAAGAAGACCTCCATCTGTGTAGGCTTTTCCCTCCAGGCTCCTTATCTGTGCCCTGGAGTTTCTTGAGGGCTTCACAGCTGGGGAAGAAAAGATGGAAAGTAGGCATGATAAGTTCCTTTCTGGTCAACTTGGGGAGAAGCTGTGGATGGAGTTCTGCAGGGGAGAGGGAGAGGAAATTGAAGAGGAGTTTTTATTTTGTTTTTGGGCTGGCTGGGGAAAATGTTAACATTTGCCATCATAAGCCTTTACTCTTCCCTAGTCCTGGTCAGCTGAGTGTGGAAATAGAGGGATTCCTGCTGTCGCTGTTGTCTATGGGCTTTCTTCCAGGTACCCACCTCAAGGGAACCTCAACTTTCATCCTTAAATTGGTTCCCTACATTCCACGTCCCAAGTAATCCCATGCCTAGTTCCTGTCTCTGTTACATGAGCTGCTGGGTTGAGGTGTGTGGGGATTGGGGGAAGGGGTTTCTCACTTTCTTTCCCTTTCCTTTCCACCCCACCAGGTCATACAACCCACAAGTAGGGAGCAGGGAAAAAGAGAGAAAGCCTGCATGCCAATTCTAAGCTCTTCAGGATCAAAGTGAGCAAAAAGAATTGAAAAATCTCCCTCCCTTTAAAGAGCCCATTTTTTACCCAGGGGGGGCAGGGGCAGTAGCTTCTGTGATCATGGGAGAAATGTAAGGAGAACATAGACTGTTTGCTTGGCTAAGATGAAGAAGTTCTAAGAACTTTCTTGTTCTTCAGGGGGTGTTGGGGTTTGGAAGTTATGGGAAGATAGGAAATGAATTGAAGGGAGTGTTGGGGGGTTAGATTTGAGAGAATGGAGGTAATACAGGATTTGGAAGGAACCTAAAGTAGGAGGCACAAATGGGGACCCCCCACCCTGAGTTCCTTTCACCCTGGGGGCAGTGTCGTTCGTCCTGTCCAGAATGGCAGCCTGTGGAGGCACCTGCAAGAACAAAGTGACTGTCTCCAAGCCTGTGTGGGACTTCCTGAGCAAGGAGACCCCAGCGCGGCTGGCCCGGCTTCGGGAGGAGCATCGTGTGTCCATCCTCATAGATGGCGAGACTTCTGACATCTATGTTCTGCAGCTTTCCCCACAGGGCCCACCCCCGGCCCCTCCCAATGGGCTCTATCTGGCCCGGAAGGCTCTCAAGGGGCTGCTGAAGGAGGCAGAGAAAGAGTTGAAGAAAGCTCAGAGGCAGGGGGAGCTTATGGGCTGCCTGGCTTTGGGGGGTGGGGGGGAGCACCCTGAGCTGCACCGTCCAGGCCCACCCCCTCTCCGAGCAGCCCCGCTCCTGCCTCCAGGGGCGCGGGGGATCCCCCCTCCTCCCCCTCCCCTACCTCCCCCTCTCCCTCCCCGCCTTCGGGAGGAGGCAGAAGAGCAGGAGAGCACCTGTCCCATCTGTCTGGGGGAGATCCAGAATGCCAAGACATTGGAGAAGTGCCGGCACTCATTCTGCGAGGGCTGCATCACCCGGGCCCTGCAGGTGAAAAAGGCCTGTCCTATGTGCGGCCGCTTCTATGGGCAGCTGGTGGGCAACCAGCCCCAGAATGGGCGGATGCTGGTCTCTAAGGACGCCACCCTCCTACTGCCCAGCTATGAGAAGTACGGCACCATTGTCATCCAGTACGTCTTCCCACCTGGTGTTCAGGGGGTAAGAATACCACTGCCTGTCCTTATCCTTATCCTTTTCCTCAAGCTCATTCTCTGACCTAGAAAGACTGGGTGAGGGTGAGGGTGTTGGTTCACTGTGATGCAGTCTTGCTATTTCCCAGTAAGCCTTCCTGCTTAGTGCCTTGCAGCTAGGAGGTCCTCTTGAGGCCCAGCTTTTCCATCGCCATGTCCCCAAGATACACGTGAAGATCAGGTGTCATGAGAGAAAGGAACTGACTCCCATTTCCTTGATGAACCTGGATGTTGACAGTATTCTTGGCAGGGGTAAATTGTGTGGTGTTCTGGCTCTGGTGCAGGCAGGCACGGCAGGGATCATCCTGACAGACCTCCTGGCTGGGAGTGTTTAGTCTGTTTCCGATTTATGATTTTTGAGACTAAAACAAATAATAGTCAAAGGCCTACAGGTGCCTTCCTGCTGGACAAAGAATCATGTCCAATTCAGGTTTGCAAAGGAGTGAGTACTAGAAAAATGGAACAGGTTAGACAGGGGAAGAAGCATTGGGAGTGTTATCAGGCGGATAAGGGAAGGCTGAAAGGGAAATTAGTCTTCACATTTCTGCAAAGTTATTTGGATAGTAAGAACCAGCTACCTTCGATCACTTCTGAGAATCCCTTTGGCGCTGACTTGGGACTTGAGGGATTGAGACAGCAGAAAGAACCTCTTAATAATGAGGATTAACTCCAGAAACAGGTTCCTGCTGCCCAGGCTTCCAAGTCTTTCCTTCCCTGGGAGACTCTCTGCTGCTGGCTTTCACCACTCTCTGGGCCAGGATGACTCTGCATTGGTATCATGAGCCCCAAAATGTCCAGCTGCTCACTGCCCACTCTGCTTCCCCTTCCTCCCAGGCTGAACACCCAAATCCAGGCGTTCGGTACCCTGGCACCACACGGGTGGCCTACCTCCCTGACTGCCCTGAGGGCAACAAGGTGCTGACCCTGTTCCGAAAGGCATTTGACCAGCGTCTCACCTTCACTATCGGCACGTCGATGACCACAGGGAGACCGAATGTCATCACCTGGAATGACATCCACCACAAGACCAGCTGCACAGGGGGACCCCAGCTGTGCGACACCCTTCATTTCCCTTCCCTCAGCTCTTTCCCTCTTGACCCATGTCCAGTGAGGGAGCCACATTGTCCTCCTCACTCCTAACTGAAGAGGACCACCCCCTAAACTGTTCAACCATTTCTCCCATCCCAGTTTTTCTTATTTTCAACCTGGTCATGTGTGCCCAGCTTAATCTACAAAAATAAGCAGAATTGGGCTAAGTCATCTTGGGTTTGGAGGTCCCCCCACCAAGAGGAAGTGGGAAAGGGACTGAATGGGGCCTCCACTGAGTTTCCCAGAATGAGGATGAGCAATGGGTGATACGAGCAAGCTCAAACAGCTAACCTTGACCTTCATTTCTTTTTGCTCTCAGGTTTGGGTACCCGGACCCCACCTACCTAACCCGGGTGCAAGAAGAACTGAGAGCCAAGGGTATCACAGACGACTGAAGGACCTCCCCTTGCCAAGGCCCCTGCTGTTGTCCTCCACTAGGACCCAATGGAAGCCTCTTTTCTCCTCTCTTCCCTTGCCTCCCCACACCATACTAGTAGGGGACCTGTCTGACTGGGAAGGGAGTTCAGAGGGGGAGGGGCCGATCCTTCCCCTGTCCCCCACCGGCCAAGTGCTTCAGTGCAGTGTGAGCCACTCCTGCCTGGCAGAGGCTGATCTCCAAGGCTCTACTCACCACCCTCTCCCCTCCATGTACATACTGCCAGTTTTCCTGCCCGCTTCATTCTCCTTGGCTTTTTCTGGTATGTGCTGTGCTCCAGTGACAGAGCTGAGAAAGGACCTTGGAGAGGCAGAGATGTCTTGACATCCCCCTCCACCTGTGAACTACCATGTAATGGAATGGGAATCTGCTGATGGGAGCCCCGTGGAGCCGGCTGTGTGTTCATCAGATACAATTTTCCTTCTACCTTAACCTTATCCTTTCTCTCTCTGTGTCTCTGTCACTGTCAGTCTGTCTTTTTCCTGCTCTTCTCTGCCCCCTATAAGGAGCCTCCTTACCCCTGTTCTGGAATCACCACCAGACTGTAGCTTTTAATTTAATAAAAATAAAGTAAAATATGCAACTCCATGCCACACCCGTTCTGTTCTGTGGACCTGGGTGGGGTGGGGACCCGGGGCTGCTGAGAAGAGAAAGGGGGTTGATAGGGAAATCCCTGTGTCCCTTCCCAGTGCTTCTGCCTCCTGAGGGCCTGGGAAGACGGATGTGCTCAGTGGGCTCTATCACAACACAGCGAACCCTGGGTCACGCTTCCACTTGGGAGCGAGATTAAGAGGGGTTTGTTTGCTGTTGAACTGTGGTTGTAGGGAAAGAACAATCCTACCCCTCTTGCAAAGTTTGGCTGGGGTGGGAGTGGGGGCGGAGCCGGGCAGGGGGGCGGATTCCGCGGCAGCAACTCCCCGGACGCACGCAGTCCTCACAGCCCCCCAGCTTCCGTGCCCCCTCAGCCCTGGAACTTGGAGCAAAGTAGGGGTCCAGCATGAAGCCCCCAGACCGACCCGTCCCGGGCCGCACTGACCGGATACTGGGGGTCATGGGGGGCATGCTCCGCGCATGCGCCCTACCCGGGCAGGATGGGGTAAGAAAGGGGCGTTACAGTGGGGTCGGGGGTCCTTCGGGGTTTCAGGAGGGCTGCACCCCACAACTCTGTTTATTTGCAAACAGCAGGAATTCGTGAGTTCCTTTACAAGAGCCATGGCCACGTTCTGGGTGAACTGCTCCCTCCACCCCACCCTTAGCGACCCTTCCACAACAATGTGGGTTTTGACAGGAGAGAGGGAGAGGAGTTCGGCTGGGCGTGGAGGGCGGGTTCCTCACCGTCCTTCTGTTCCTGCAGCCCCTGAAGAGAAGTCCCCTAGGGCCAGGGGGTACTGAGCCAGAGTCTGACCGTGCCGAGCGGGGTCAGAGAGCGGAGTGCAAGCGGGAAACTCCAGCCTGGGCTCCGCAGCCCGGTAAGAAGCTGGGGGTGGGGTGGAGCACAGTTTGCCATCCTGCGCAAAGTGGCGAATTCAAAAATATTCTTCTCTTATTAGCATAAGGGTTTGCATCTAATTTGCATGAGACCCATTTAATCTCAGAGACCTCCCCGCTTCTTCTTGCACTCTAGTCCGATGTATGTCCCCCACCCAGCCGGTCCCGAGCCCCCGCAGGCGGAGTGTCCCTGAGCCCCACCCCTGGCCCCTCGCCAGCCCAAGCACTAGGACTTCGCCTTAATTGGTGATTAGTCTCAGCTGGAATCTCGGGGACTGGAGGGAAGAAGGGTCTGGCGGGAGGGCGGCACCTGGACTGTGTTCCCCACAAAGCGCTCCTCACATACGCACCCCCTTACCGAGGGGGCCTCCTCCGGCCCCGCACGGCCAGGGACGGCGCCAACCCCAGGACACCCTAGCACCAGGCCAAGACCCCATCTCCCGAACCCTTCTCTACTGAGGAGACTGAGGGGCGACCACCGCAGAGCCTGCTGCCAGGCTTAACCTCCACCCTAGCTCTCTGCAGTCAGAGCCCGAGATGTAGGAGGGAGAAGGACCCAGGCGAAGGAGCCCAGGCTGGGGAGGAGGGGCGGAGGCGGTGGGGACGTGGAGCGGGAACGTGGTGGTGCCTGGGGGAGGGGGACTTGGGGCGGGAACCCCGCACAGGCTGGAGGGGGAACGCGGGGGAGAGGGCGGAGCTGGGCCGCGGAGGCCCCTCCCCGCGGCGGCACCGCGGCCGGGCCTGTTATTCGGCTCGCCGCTCGGCCGGGACCCGCGCAGCACCAGTGTCTCGGAGAGTCGGCCCCCGCCTCCTCCCTCGCCCGAACCTTAGAGCCACCCCCGAGCTGAGAAGCCTGAGACCGAGCTGGAGCGGCTGCCTCATTCCGGCCCAGCCTCCCCCAACATCCCTCTCCCCAGCTGGACATCTGGACTCTGGGCCCCGCACCGACAGGGTTCCGGAAACCCTCCCCGCCCAGCTCAGCGGGCCGGGCCCCGCGCCGCCTTCTCTCCAGAGCCCCCCGCCCTTCTCCAGACCAGACTTCCGCCCACCCCTGGACGCCCCCTCTCAGTCCCCTCCCTCCCCTCCTCCCCCAGCCTGGACCGGGGTAGGAGGGAGGGGGGGTGTGCGCTCTGCGCCGTCCCCGCCCCGCCCCCCCTGATTCCCCCTGCATGGCCGGCCCGGGTGGGGGGCACGGGGGGGCCCGGGCGCCATGCGGGGGGGGCACAAGGGGGGTCGCTGTGCCTGTCCCCATGTGATCCGAAAAGTGCTGGCAAAATGCGGCTGCTGCTTCTCCCAGGGGGGACGTGGTGAGTGCGAGGTTGGAGAGGCCCAGGGTTGAGTGGGGGGCCAGCTAGGGGTTCAAGTTTGCCTTGGACTTAGAGATTTAGGGGCTGGAGATTGTGCGTGCGTTTTCCAGGAAAGTGACTTAATAGACGATCTGTAAGGTTCCTTCTACTACCAAATTTCTGTTAGTTCAAATTAAGAAAATAGGGGAAGGGACAGAGGATTCATCTCTTCATCTTAGTCACCTGGGTATGACAAAAACCCATTTCCCAATCTCCTTAGGCCTAGAACCTGTATCTTTCCTCAAATCCTTTTGCCAACTTCAGATGTGAAGAAGGATAGGGGATAGAAGAAGGAGGAATAAGGAGGTCTACCAGGAGCTTTAGTGAATCGTAGCTCATCTGCACCAGAGCCCAGGCCAGAAATAACCCTAATGAGCTCCCCTCACTCAGCCCCTCTGTGGGGTTTGTGCATGCATGTGGCAGTGGTCTGCAGAAGCCTTTTCTTTTTATAGTGATTACTGCAATTGATGGAGGAGGGGTCTGGAGGTGGCAGATGGGCTCAGCTCTCACCCCCCCCCCCGCCTTTCCCAGAGAATGGTCTGTACTCATTGGAAGGGAGAGGGTTGTGGGAGAGCAGATGGGCACCCCAGTGTCTGCCCAGATGGCTGCCCCCACCCCCATATATGTGCCATGCTCAAGATATGGGGGAACCTCCACATGTGCCTGGGAGTTCCAGGCCTGGAGAGCCAGGTTTACTGTTCTTCCTCCCAAGGGTGTTTCCATGAAATTTTCTATCTGACCAACCCAAACAAGAATAGCAAATAGTGAGCCCTGGTGTGTGTGGGGGAATGCGTATCATGAAGAGGAGACCCTGGGATCTCCCTGAGGACCGTGAGTCTGGAGCTGGAGCAGTGTTGATATCTACCACCCTGTCCCCTTTTCCCCCCACCAGAATCCTACTCTATTGCTGGCAGTGAGGGGAGTGTCTCGGCTTCAGCTGCCTCAGGTCTGGCTGCTCCCTCTGGCCCCAGCTCTGGCCTCAGCTCTGGTCCCTGTTCCCCGGGCCCCCCTGGGCCAGTCAGTGGCCTGAGAAGATGGTTGGATCATTCCAAACATTGTCTCAGTGTGGAAACTGAGACAGATGATGGCCAGGCAGGACCATGTGAGGTGAGCAGGGAGTAGTGGAGAAGCATGTGCATAGATCGAGAGGGATGCTGGGAGAGAGGTTAGGTTGTGTCCGTTGGTCACTGTGGAGACCCAGCTATGACCTCTGGCCCCCAGAACTGGATGCTGGAGCCAGCTCTAGCCACAGGACAGGAGTTGCCAGAACTAACCCTGCTGACCACATTGTTGGAGGGCCCTGGAGATAAGACTCAGGTATGAAGAAATGAGCCTGGGAGGCTCCCCTTACCCAAGAGGCATCCCTTTGATTACCCTAGAATGCTCTTTCCTTCCAGTCAGCTGAGGAGGAGACTGCTTCCCAGGCCCCTGAGAGTGAGGAGGAGCAAAAGAAGAAGGCTCTGGAAAGAAGTATGTAAGTGCCCTCTCCCTCCCGTTGCACAATTTCCAGAAGATTCTCTCTCACACTTGAGACTTAGGATTGGGAATCCTCTCTGAAGCTGACTCCATGGTGGTGAAGGGAGAAGTTGTTGTTGTTGTTTGCCATCGAGTCGGGCCCCGACTCACAGCGACCCCTCCTTGGGTTTCCGAGGCAGTATCACTACGGAAGTAGGATTGCCCAACCTTCCTTCCGAGGAGTGGCTGGTGGGTTTGAACCGCCAGCCTTCTGGTTAGCAGTCAAGTGCCTTAGCCACTATGCTACCAGAGCTCCCGAAGGGAAAAGTAGAGGTTTCTAATCCATGTGGAAGGATCCAGCCAAACCAAGGATGTACTCAACCTCTGAAGTAGTGGTATCTTCCTGTTCCTTTCCTAGGTATGTCCTGAGTGAACTGGTGGAGACAGAGAAAATGTACGTGGACGACCTGGGGCAGATTGTGGAGGTAGCTCTGTTTACCCGTTCCTGCCCTGGCCTCCCACCCTTTCCCTCTGCCCAGGTCTATTTCCAGGAGATGCCTTGGTGCTCCTCTGTTCCACCCTCCCAGTCTCCCCCTGGATTTCTTCCTGGAGTGTGTTTCTCCCACCAGGACTGGCCCCACATGCTCCCACTTCAACCTTCTCACAGGGTTACATGGCCACCATGGCTGCTCAG